GAAATATTTGGTGGAGGAGAGAGAGAGAAAGAGAGAGACTTATTTCGCGGTATTTTAAATTGGTCTCATGTTATTCATGTCAAAATGTGATGTAAGGAAATGTTTCCCCTTCGTTTTATATAGCAGGGTATTCTATAATGATATCAGTTGCAGATTTTTTTTCTATCGGTAAGAAATGGTTTACAGTTCGAAATCTATGTTAAGTTATAGTACATTTAAAGTAAGTTTATTGCATTGCTAAACGTTTCTCAATCAAGATAAAACGTTTACAACCAATACTATTTTTACAACTAAATATGTTTTATGTTTTTTTTTTAACATTTTATAAGATCGAATTTGAAATGATTCAAAATTACAAAAAGACATCAAGAACTACGCAATTAGTATGAAACAAAATATATAATAAATAAGATAACTTATTTGCTTTAATTAACAAGTGAAATGTTTCCAATCCAATCTTTCCAATCTAATATAGTCCAAAGGGTGACAAAAAGATATAAATATGGTCACTAAAGATTATCTTACGGCTGGCAGTAAAAAAAACTTGCCAAAGTGGGGGCATCCGTTTGGTTGTTTGGGATATACAAGTACGCAACCAACATTCAATCAATCCAAACTAATAATTGTTTTTTTTTTATCCCGCATCTTTTTATATTAATTTATTTTAACTCAAAATAATAATTGAAATAACTTTCTGAAATTAAAGCCTAACATATATCAGACGCTTAACAAAACGATATACCATACGATAGATGAAACGCTTAACGATATCATATACCATACGATAAACGAAACGCTAAACGCTAAACCATACCATGTACCATACGACAAATAAAACGCTTAACGATACCATGAATCATACGATACACAAAACCCTAAACGATGACATTTACCATACGATGAACGAACGATGAACGAACGCTGACCGAACGTTGTACGGACGCTATACGAATGATGTACGAACGATGACCGAACTCTATACGAACGATTCCCGAACGCTGTACGTACGATTCCCGAATGAAAAAAGTGTTAACTTTTACGTTACAGGGACTGTAGGAATCGCAATTACGTATGTAGCTCTTTGTTTCATAGTCTTTTGATAGACAAGCGACTTAGACAAAAAAAATCATTCGCATTTTGGAGATTGAACATTTTACTACAATCATAGTTGTTTTAGAAATTTACCTCTATATTTCTACTAGAAATAGACCATGAATTTTTTTTAACTGTGTAATATTCCCAATTCTGGACTGCTGGATTTGCTAAGAAGTGCTCATACATCGAGTTCAAACCATTTAAGCATAGTTTTAATGAGATGAGTTTATAATAATTATTTTAACAGCAAAAATACCGGAAAAAATGGAGATACAACACTACAAAAATTCTCTGAACTAACTAGATAAATAAGCCAATTGGTGTGTGGAGACAGAACAGTGGAGTTCTGACAAAAGCTCGTAGGGTGTAGATATCTCGTATTGTAGTTGTATAGGGAGATAGAACATTGTACTTTGATATTGAATATATAGCTATCTTCATTTTTATCAAAACTGGCCATATTGAAAAACCTACACACTACTATATCACAAAACAAACTTTCAAAATTAACACAATTAAAAGCAAGTCACAGGTCTTTCACGTGGATAAATCATGTAAATACCGTGTTCAAAACAATACTATTTAGATATGCAAAAGATTTTGATTCAGTGACACTGTTGGGTGGTTTGCACTAAGAAAGACCAGACGAGTAACACAAATTACGCCTGTCCAGGTTTGTAGAAAATAGAATAATGACCACAGATATAGAGAATAGACAATAATTGACTAACGGGGAAATACAGAATAGAGAATAATTATGTACTAAAATAAAGGAATAGAAAAATGCACCAACAAACAAGATACAATGAGCCTAAAAATAAATGAAAACAGATATGAAGATCCCAAGACACTTATGAGTAATTAGAGGAAGCATACTAATGTTAGTTAAATGGTTTAAACAACTTCAATCACAGGTTTGACACAAACATTTATCTTCCCTACAGCTTTTGCTTCTCAGATCATTAACTATTTATAGGGCAGTTGTCTAGTTTAATATTTTAAAATAAACAGCTGTCGTCAGCAAATTAGCATGTATAAAATAAGTTATGACAGATGAAAAACTAAACCTGATACTGGAAATATTTTGTAGAGTGTGCAAATATTCAATTACCTGAGAATTTTATAAACGGAAGATTTTAAGTCATTAATAATAAGCATGGGAAAATGCAGTATAAAATGTCCACTTCAAGTGACATTGATGTTAAAATAAAACATACAAAGTCACGAGATCGTGATTGACAGCGATGTACATAAGGATTTTTTCAAACTTCTCGGGAATATTCTTTTATTTCCGTTTTCATTGTTGGTTTTTTAATAATATGTTCAATATTCTTCGTTTCATATATTTGTCATGTAAATTTGCTACTGTTTTGAAATTTCCCCTAAAGAGAAAAAAATCCCTAAATAAACCGCATCGGACGCGAGTTATTTGCGTTTCTTTTGTTCAAGTCCCTATATAAATCAGTTGTTTTTCAGAATTTTGAATCAAAGGACCAAACATTATAGAGAGAAGGTAAGAAGTTTAATTAAAACAGAAGAATGACATGAATGTCAAATTACACAATGAAATCTAGTAAATAAATACAAGGTATAACAAACATAACTCACCAAAGATACCAGTCATATCTGTGCGAGCCAGCAACACGTTTCGTCTACGAAAGACTCGTCAGTGACGCTCGAATAAAAGTTAAAGGTCAAATGAATAATGAATTTGAAGAACTTTGAAAGTTAAAACATTTTAATCATTTTTAAATTAATGTTTTGGGGTAGTTGATCTTACTTTTATCAATTATTAAAAGATAGATACTATTTAAATATTTCCTTGTATCTTGTATGCCATTTCAATATAAGGAAAACAATTTAACGCTCTATCTCAACACAAGTTGACCTATTTCCAACCCATCGATCAATTTAATCTCTTAAAATTCAGTATTTCATTACCATATTAGAGAATATATTTAAGAACAGTTGACTGCCTTTTGGAAATATATCAACGTTCAAATAATATGAATTCTAATGAAAACTACTTCCTTTCTAAAGTAATTGACTCGAAGAGAGATCAAGACTGTTGTTACTATAAATCAATGGAAATATTCTGGAAAAGGCATACGATTTTACGCAGCAAATTAAACTTGTATGATAAGCTACAAGACTTATACATATCAAAAGGACAGCAACATGCCTGAAAAAGAAATATCTTACCCTCATTAAAATGTTTTAAGCCTGTTTTACTCGTCGGCTGAATTTATTTATTGATACAGGTTACAATTATACTGATGCTGTTCAATCTCAGAGTCTAGAACATTTTGGGTAATCGTCAATTCGTAAACTAAAGTGTAAAACAACTTTTTACTAAATTCTATGGTAAGGCACATTGTACTGTTTATGAAGTTGCTGTATGAAATCTTCTTTGGAGTTATGCAACCGATATTTGAGTTTAGGACAGAATCACGTCTTTTCAGCAGGTTAATATATTTTGGCTTGCTTTCATAAAATGTGAATATTTTTTATACAGTCTATTTGTTCTTTTTTATAATCAAAAGCAAGGCAAACTATACCAAAGGGACATTCAAACTGATACATGTTGATTAAGAGGTAAATGGTTAAAATGGTTTTGTTGTACCGAGTTATGTCGGATGTTCTTTTATGAACCTTTTGCAGTTCCTTTTATCAACATTATGATGCATACATAAAACAAGGAACCCCGCCACATATTTATGTGTATGTCACAAATAAGATAGCGTTTAACGGCTGTGTTATATCAGTATTTTAAATGAACTTTTTTCACAATAGGATCTCACTCTCTGCAAAAGATAAGGCAGAGTTTATGACCAAATTGTTTAACGTACCTATATCCTCTATATGCAATAATGACTGATGATATATTATTTTGGAATCTAATATGCATTCTGGGTAATATTTGCAAAAGCTTAAGGCAAAACATAATTAACTTCAATGTAAAATGAACACTTAAAGGTTAGAAAATTAAATGTATTTCAAGTTAGAATATTATTCCTGTTTGCTTTACTTAAACGAATATTTTAAAATATATTTTGTAAAACATCTTTCGTGCTTCTTCAGAAAACAGCGGAAGAACAGTAATTTTATTTTGTCGCTGGCATTGATTAATGACAACTTCAGATGGCCACATTCGAACTTGATCAACCACGATAATCTCCAAAAGTACAAAAGTATTCCAGTCATTCCAATACTAGTGGATTTTCTTTCGAAAATACGAAATTTTAGATGATATAAAGACATACTAAAATTGAAACACAGACAGAGAGAGAGTGAGAGAGGCGAAGGATTTCAAATGAACATGCAGATTCATAAGTCGAAAATGAACTGAAAACTCCATGGCTAAAAAAGAATAAAACAAACAAACAACAGTACACAAAACAAAATAGAAAACCAAGGACTGAACCCCACGAACCCCACCAAAAACTGGGGCTGATGGCAGGTGATTCGGATAGGTATGCAGATCCTGCTTAAAATGAGGCACCCGTCGTGTTGCTAATGTAAGTACAAACCCGGCGATAATCATTAACTGGAAACCTACATTGTACTAGTGATGGCGTTCGTAAAATTTACGAAGGGATGATTTCAACTTCACCACTTGGAACTCTTTGTTTAATAGCTTCCTTGTGAGCATCAGCATTTTATAAAGGAAATCATGATAGGAAACACAAGCACTGAAATAACGTATCAACTGGGATTTACTTATGGACCTTTTTTGCACAGATAAGGAAAGTTTAGTATCCATGTTTAAATCACCTCAATCAAAAGAAACTATGGCGTTTCGTAATATAACACACAAAATATTTGCCACGTACCTTTAACTGGATGTATCAGTTATAGGATTACAATTATCTACGTTCAAATTTTTTTCTTCTTTTTTTAGGTATGACGAAGAAAGAGAACTGCTATGTAATTTAATCATGTCAGTATATATAAGCCAGTATCTTTATTCGTAGAATGACATGCTAAGAATGGCAAAAGCGTCCGAAGGGAAAAGCGAATCTTTAGATTTTTACAAATATCTTTGCCAAAAGATTGGATCTGAGAAGGTCGTGAAAATAAGAAGGTTGGTTTCCACTGTTAGAGACATTGGTCAAAATGGGAAAGTAATAACCAGTGGAAGTAAAGGTGAAGGACTCGATTTAAACGGCAGTGATGTTGATATGATGTATGTTGATCCTTATGGTAAAGTGTATCAAACAGAAACAGAAGTTCAAAGTCAAATTTATCCGCTTCCATTAATTATGAATACCGAGGAGACACAGCCATGTTTCACACAATTGTTGATTTTAAATCATGATATTAAAACAACTCCAAATGTGTTGCAAAAACATCATCGCGGATTTATGCTTTCAAGTGAACTATATAAACTGAGTTGTAAGAATGTAGCACAGGTATCCATTCCCGCATTGTTTTCCGGAAAAATCCATGGACCATGTATATCAAATAAAGAAGATACACTTGATATAGCATGGTGTTTTAAATGTGACAAATGGATATTTCAAGCAGAGCCATGGGTATGCAGACCACGTACAACATGGCCTCCACCTGAAATAATTTCAAAAATAGTATCTAGTGGGGTGTTAATAGTTCCAATTGGCTGCAAAGGATCCACAAATGAACATCTAGAATGGCGAATTTCTTTTTCTGTAGCCGAAAAATTCCTTATATTTTCTTTTAGTCATACACAACTGTTATGTTATGCTATGTTTAAAGTCTTGCTGAAGGAAGTAGTAGAAAAATATCAAAATTTGAAAGGTTTATTTTGTTCGTATTTCTTAAAAACGCTGATGTTTTGGATTTTAGAAGAAACAGACCCATATCTATGGAGACCAGATAATATCATACCATGTTTCATGGCATGTCTACAACGATTGCTCTACTGTGTAAGATACTCAATATTGTCACATTATTTTATTCCTGAAAATAACTTGTTCCTTTTAAGGTTCAATACTAATAACAAAGAAAAAATAATCAACATACTTGAAAATTTATATGGAATAGGAATAGATTGTTTTGCATCTTCTGAGACCCTACAAGAATATCAAAGACTGTCTTACAAAATCTCCGAATCCTTCATAAGTAGAAACAGCAGCTTCTTACAACAAGTAATGCTTATATTTCGTAATGCTTATACAAATGGTAGAGCTGCTCGAGTTTTGAGACTAATGTATAACTTTCTCAATAGTTCTAGAACTGTTTTATCTAGATTTGTATTTGTTCTTGAAATATCTGAAGCATCTATGTATTTTTCAGAAGAAACACAATACTTAAATAGCGCAGGAAACAAACATCATTACTTCAGGTACAAACATGATCTCAGTTATTTAGTTATCGGTTTACATTCGGATGCAGTATCAGGATTGCTGAAGTTAGCTTCTTTCTTTTATGTTCATAAAAAATACATAGCATCATTAACTGTGATAACACATACATTGCAGAAATTCACAAACGAGAAAATTGATATTAGGTTTTTCAGGTATACAAAGAAATTAAGTCATATTCAAAAATACGTGCTGAGTCTTATGAAAAAAGAAAAACTTTATACCATTATAAAATCATTAACAATTCATCCTTTTGGATTTGGCAAGGAATCTTCCATAATTCCACGGGAACTACAACCAGATGTTACAAGGATTTATTCTTCTTTTCACCCGTTATCATTTGCATATTTTCTTAACTTTCTATGTTACTATCATCTACATGACCTGACATCTTGTAGACAATCATTGCAACGACTTAGACAATCTCAATGGATACTTTCAGAAGGTGGTACTATAGTTTGTCAGCCTGAATCTGTGAACACAGTAATTTTTTGTGGCATAGCTCACCAGTTATTGGGTGAGACATACAATGCAAGACTAACTTTCCGAGAAGCTGATGGACTTGATAAGTATAATTTAACGAGTGCAGCATCAAGACTGTCTAGTCTCATCTAAACATATTAGATTTTACATTTAACATGTAAATAAGTAAAGTTTTGACCTTTAAAGAAATATTCAACCAAAATAGATCATAACCAAACTTGTTTTTCCTGTTCGGACAAATGCAAAGGATACAAAAAAAACTTTAGACATGATTAGCTTATATACATACATTTAATTAATACTTAATCCCTTAAATCACAGCCAAATTAGAGCATTTTTTTTTATATATATGGTCGGGAGACTATTTTTTTAGATATTGACTTTGATCAATAAATAATGTGTTACTTGTATTTAACTGTAAAAAGTTTATTATAGTTATTCGATTTTCTTTATTTGATTGTTTGCCATAACCCATATTTCAATGTTTAATGACAATAAATGATGAATTGAGTTGATCTTAACTGAATTAAAGTCATTTTAACTTGACAATGTGTTGCTATAGAAAGTAACGTAACAAAAATACCGAACTCCGAGAAAAATTCAAAACGGAAAGTCCCCAATCAAATGGCAAAATCAAAAGCTCAAACAAATCAAACGAATAGATAGCAACTGTCATATCATATAGAGAAAGAGAGGCGGGAGATACAAAAGGGACAAGAGAGAGAGAGAGGCGGGAGATACCAAAGGAACAAGAGAGAGAGAGGCGGGAGATACCAAAGGGACAAAAGAGAGAGAGGCGGGAGATATCAAAAGGACAAGAGAGAGAGAGAGAGGCGGGAGATACCAAATGGACAAGAGAGAGAGGCGGGAGATACCAAAGGGACAAGAGAGAGAGAGAGGCGGGAGATACCGAAGGGACAAGAGAGATAGAGGCGGAAGATACCAAAGGAACAAGAGAGAGAGAAAGGCGGGAGATACAAAAGGGACAAGAGAGGGAGAGGCGGGAGATACCAAAGGGACAAGAGAGAAAGAGGCGCGAGATACCAAAGGGACAAGAGAAAGAGAGACGGGAGATACAAAAGGGATATTCAAACTCACAAGTTGATGACAAACTGACAACGCCATGCAAATAAAAAAGAAAAATAAAAACGAACGAAAACGAAAACAACCAAAAGACAAGCAACTGTCTCAAAACATAACATAGAAAACAAAAGACTGAGCAACATGAACCCTACCAAACCCCAGGAGGATCTCATGTTCTCTGGAAGAGTTAACAGATCCTGCTCCCCATGTGACTACCGTCGTGTTTCTCCCTGAAAAATGATCATCTACAAGTGCAACCACCGAAAGAAGCCCTTTAATGTTGTACTTTTATACATGACACTATGCCAGATACCATGTTTTAGTAAAATAAACCGGTGTTTATATGTATGGAAATAACCACGCGGAATAACCAGAAGTAAGTAGTGTAAAACTCAAACTAGTATACAAAAAAGAAGATGAGGTAGGCTTTCTATTAAGACAACTTAACATCAAAGACCAAACGATGCGGGTGCAATCAACGAGAACATGTCACCATACGGCCTTCAAAAGTGAGCAAAAAATGTACCATAAAAAAACAATAAAGTGACCTGGGATGACAATGTATGAGAAACAATATACAACAGAAAACATACAGTCTATTTAACCAAATAACATAAAGTGAGAAAATAATTGTTGCAACCAAGGAAAACACCTGGACCTCAGGCTACCTGAATTGGACAAGCACATCAAATATGTGGCGGGGTTAAACATGTTTGTAAGCGCTCAATACTCACTTTTAGCTCAAAATTTTTACTGTAAACTCTATTCTGTATTCTGAAGTAAAAAAAAAATAAAATACATCATATATGCGCCGGAAACAAACATGTTCGCATAGCAGATATCATGAATTTGATGCAAAGCAAATAATTTAACTTTAGGTATAACTTCTTTATTTCGTGTGTTTAACAAGAATAAGAAAAGACCAACATTAATGAAAATAAATACATCAATTTCAATAATATGACAGCACCTGTATTAGTTTTAATCTAATGATATATTTAAACAATTCAGAATTTAAAAAAAAAACTTAGTGCCTATTGGTTTTCCGTTTACCTGCATTTTGTCAATAGTAACAACATATTGAAATTTGAAAAACTTTGGATGAAAGGTTCATAAGTTGTCGCACAGAAACGACTCGAGCAGCCCGCCCGCCCGACTGCAGTAGAACCCTAAACGGAAACGGGATTTGAAATCCGGTAATAAAAAAAGCAGGTCATGAATAAAGGTAAAATAAATCCGGTTTACTGTCACATTCTGACAGCCTCATGTTTGTGTCGTATACTTGTTAACTGGTGTCTTTGAGTCGTTTTTTTGTTTTTACTCATTGCCATAAGAAGTGTGTTGGCACTGATTTCCAAACTTGTCAGCGACAACGCTGATAAAAACCTAATATATAAGTTTATAAAATGCTGGCAAGAACTGTACACGTGAGACGGCTAACAAGACCAGACGGACATGATGTACATTGGTACAGCTGGTAAAAAACGCATCTGTTCACAAAGTGGGGAGAAAAAACAACTCACAGACGATTAGCAAAGGTGCCTTTTTAGGGATGGACATATTGCTGACATAGGAATCGGGAAAATCCCGAGAGTATTTGCAATCTTATAGGGTGATTTTATAACAAGTATACAAGTGTTTGTGTAAAGTAAAAGGGTTGCTATTTCTTTGTGTGCATAAATGGAAATGTGGGATATACAATAAAACAGCAACTGGCCAATCAACGACACACAAAGTCAAAGACATATAGATAACACGTGAATGATGCAGGATGGACAAGTATTTTTTTACTGCTTATCTGTAGTTTAAGTAAAGATTCGTTGGTCCCTTGAATTTGAAAGTTGATTAGTATATTTAGTATAAGAAGTAATAAATCAATCAAATAATAACATCACATGTTCACAATAAAAGTCAGATTTTAACTATAACAGCAACATATTTCAGTCTCCTAGTACATATTTGTTAGTCTTTTAACTTCTTGCATTTCAAGAGAAAATTCAAACCATTATAAACCATTATAAAATAAGGAGATGTGGTATGATTGCCAATGAAATAAGTTTCCATCAAAGACCAAATGACGTAGCAAGTAAAAATCACAAAAATGCTGAACTCCGAGGAAAACTCAAAAAGGAAAGTCCCTAATCAAATGGCAAAATCAAAAGATCAAACACATCAAACGAAAGGATAACAACTGTCATATTCCTGACTTGGTACAAGCTTCTTCTTATGTAGAAAATTGTGGACTGAACCTTACTTTGCTACATTTGATATCTCCAAATTACCATTCCACTATGAACTGCTTATTCAAAAAGAAATTTTGTCACCAGCTGATTTATGAAATAGAACATCATTATATATGCTAATATATATATATATATTGCTCCCTTGACAAAATGCTAGGAGCATATTGTTTTACCCGTGTCCGTTTGACAGTCCGTCCCTCCCTTTGTATATAGGTTTATACGGCTGATTTGTTAAGGCTACAGTTTTTAATGTACCTGGTGTTAGCACATATACTAAAGATGCGCATCCTGTCAGATTTTTTTTTTATGACAGATTTCTGAATTTGGCATTTTGATAATCATATATTGCGACGATGTTTTTTTCCCTACATTGAGGTCGCTAAGTATATTCTCAGGATAATTTTTTTTAATAATTTTTCACGAACGACAGAATGTTGAACTTTGACTATTTAAGTGAAATTTTGCATACAGTTTGCAATTAAGGTTTGTCCGACTAACTACACACACAACCCACACGTTTACATCATACAAAGTATCCTATATTTAGAATGAGTATTTTATAAGGATGTTGATTTTCTCTATAATTTTCACAACTAAAAGAATGTTAAGCCTCCTTGACATCTATTTCATATTGTATTGGATCGTCCCGAAAATGCATGAAATATTTGCCACTGGACGTTAAGCAACCATCAATTAATCAATTGAAATTGTACCTCAACATCACTGTTTACCAAATCAAATTTTTGAAACACTTTATTTTATTCATGCATGGATACATCGGAGACATCACTATTGTCTAGTTTGGCAGGGTTAAGTTGAAGATTCAGTTTTGAAAAGCCAAAAATGCACCCAGTTTTGAAGAAATAAAATTAACTCAGTCGAATGTTATATTGAATTATTAGGAAATTTACGACGCTGGTAATGCAAATATTCAGTAACGTCACACGTTTTCTGTCAAATTCTAAGCGTATCGGTTAACTTTGAAGCAATGTATCTAAAACAAAGATGACATATGTGTTTCTATATAAATGCATGGATTCAGTATACAATCCTGGATATTATGTTAGTTTTTAGTCTTTCTCCGTATATAGAACAAAGCCATCCATTAAAAAATATAAACAAATAAGTTTAAAAAAGGCATTTTCCCTATATATGTTTCTATGTAAATTTGTCGCCAAAATTGACGTTTCCTAATAAAAATTACCAAAAAAAAGCCAGAAATGGTAACACCCATTTTTTAAGTCATATTCCGATGTAACTCGATTCTAAGTACCAGTGTGCCAAACATGTTAGAAGTCGGGAGGTATGCCATTCGGTATCGTGTTACCTTAATATAAGTACACATTTTTAGATTATAAAGAAAAATTACCCACTTTCAGGGGAACACGAAACTGCATTGTAAATGACAAAATATGGAGCATATTGATTAAACATACAAACCCTCGTGTAGAAAAGACACTAATTTTAAAAGTGAAAAAAAGCAATAAAAAGAATTAACATTAACAGATACAATCATTAAAATTTAGTGCAAATAGAAAAAACGTAGATAGCTAGAATGACACCTTTTATGAGGGTGTGGATGGGGTTTACAGAATAGAGAATAATGGGCAAAAAAAAAAGAATAGAAAAAAATTAGCCAAAAATTTAATAATAGAGAATAATGGGCTTCTAAAATATAAAGAGTAGAGAATAATGGGCAAAATTATTAAAGTTAATAAAGTAATAAATGAGAAAAAATGGCGTAAATACAATTATAAAATTAAAGAACACCCCCTCCATTTTTTTCCATTTTCCAGACCCTCTTCTATCATATGACTGTTTAAAAGAAAGAAGCGCCGTATTTGATAGGAAAAGATAGGTTTGAAATATATTTTGCCAGTTACGTTGCTTTCGCCTGGAAATTCAAATATGTTGACCTAAATGAAACGGCAGCCCAGTAAGGCTGTCGTTGATCGGAAAAAGCAATGCATGCTTCTGATAGAAGAATCATTTAGGAAGAAAATGAGTGTCTTTGTAAGGTATAAAGTCATATAGAAATATTTTTAATTATTTTCTATTTAAAGAAGGGTAGTGTATTCAGAATGGCGACTTATATCCCTTTAGGATTTTTCAGTATACGGATATGGATAGTTAACTGCACATT